CAAAACGAATGATTGCCGACTACAGCACATACTTGCTGTCTGAAGTGCTGTCTGTAGAAAAACATCATGGTAGGCATAGAACAAGAAGCTGGCGGGGCACAAAGCTGCTGTCTGAAGTGCTGTCAGAATGTAAACCCATGTCTAAGCAAAAGCTTGTCGAGGAGCGAGGGGAAGAAGGGAGAAGCTATGTATGTCCTTTGTATTATTGCCTTCGGCCTGTGTCCTGTGTTCCTTTTTTTTTTTTCATGTCCTCCCTGCCTACTCTGCTGTGTTGGGTACATTGACCTCGCTTTTTTTGCTGTTGCTTTTGTTTTTGTACATCTGGCTGTCTGCCCATCTGCCGCCTCTTTGTCCTGTTTACTCCGTTACTCCCTGGTGCGTAGTGCCTGGTCCTGGTACGTTACCCTTTGATTTTTTCTTTAGGCGGGTGTGGGAAGCGTCCTGCTTTATTTTTGTTTTTTAAATTTTGATCGGTTTCCGAGGGCTCTTTTTTGCTCGAACGGTCGGTGCGGTACCTGTTATTTTCTCTTTATCATTTTGTTTTCTTTTTCCGAGTGGCTTGTACCCTATTTTTGTTTTTTGTTTTCTCGCGGCGTCGTATGTGCCGGGTTTTGAGACCACGGGCTCCCCATTTTTTGTGGACTATAGAGCTAATGTGAGAAACAACAACAACAACNCTTGTACCCTATTTTTGTTTTTTTTTCCCCGCGGCGTTGTATGTGCCGGGTTTTGAGACCACGGGCTCCCCATTTTTTGTCGACTATAATCTGCTGTGAGAAACAACAACAACAACAACAACAACAACACGCCACGCGTCTTGTGACAGGAACAGCTTAAGACTACAGCTTCTGGCTTCTTCACGCTCGAAATCGACGTGTTGACCTCGTTGACCCCATCACCGTACCGAAAGGCTCCCTTGTGGCCCGCTGCCTCCGCGCGCCTCTTCATCTCCGTTTTGACATGCCGGGAGCAACCAGTCGGCATAGTCGGCTGCTCCCCTCGGATGGGCTTGGGCGGTAATGTTGGGGGCGAAGGTAGGAGTTGCACGGACGATCCTGGCCCTGGCGCGAGGGCCGGTAGCGATCCCGGCCCTGGCGCGAGCGCCGTCGGCGATTCCTGCCCTGGCGCGAGCGCCGGCAGCAATTCTGGCCCTGGAGCGGGCGCCGGCAGGTTTCCCGGCCCCGGCCATTGCGGCGACGGGGGCGGTGTGGTCCATCCTGCAAGCATGCGCGCCTGGGCCACCTGAGGGATGGACAATCCGCGCGCTGGGGGAAATCCAGCAGATCCAGGAAAAAACGCTGGCGGAGCTGACGCCGGAGAACCCGCAGCAGCGGCAGCGGCGGCCGCAGCGGCAGCAGTGATGCCTACGTACTGCTGCTGCTGCTGCTGGGGCGGAATGTGCGAGAGGTGCTGTGGTGGCGCCCGAGGAGTCATCATGTTTGCGTGTGCACTCCCGCCAACAGCTTGCTGGGGGGGGACTGCCGGGGCAAAACAAAACTTCCCGCCACGCCCGTGGCGCCTCCTGCGCCTGCTGCGCTGCCGTCTGTGTTGGCGCCTCCGGTATCGCTCATGAAGATGTTGCGTGGATTGTGGGAGGAGGAGCGTCTCCTGCCACCTCATGGTCTTTTCATTTTTAACCCGCATATTCAGTCTATTTTAGCTACATATTTTTTTACCATTTCGAAGAACTTTCGGAACAATAACATCTGTCTTCAAGGTTTGGCGGCGGAATCTGTGGGAAAGAGCCAATCAGCGGCATTTTTGCTTTATTTTTTCGATTTTTGCTCCTGCATTTTCTTTGACAAGACCCACCTCACCGCGATGGTTGACCATCGAAGCAGCGGGGCAAAGATACGCACAGACGACCGAGTTCCGATACCTGGGCGGCCTCATCAACGAACAGGGCGACCTCACGCGAGAGATCAACCACAGGAGCAAAGCAGCGTGGGCGTGCATTAGCCGATACGCCACGGAGCTCTTCGACCGACCGGGAGCACCGTTTCGCCTCAAGGCCCGCCTACTCCAGGCGGAGGCAGTGGCGGCACTGCTATACGGCTGCATGACATGGTCCCCACGCCGCGACCACTACCGGCTGCTGCAGACGACACACCACCGTCTGCTTCTGCGAGTTATCGGCTACCGGCGCAAACGAGGCACCTACCGGCAGCTGTCATACGCCCAGGCGCTGAAGAGGGTCGGCTGCCAGAGCGTGGAGGCCACTGTCCGTCAACGGCGCCTGCTCTTTGCGGGGGCCGTGGCAAGACAGCCAGACGGGCGGCTTCCGAAACGGCTGATGTTCGGCGAGTTGGTGGGAGGGGAGAACCCGGGCCGGAGAAGCCCGGAGCAGAACTGGCTGTTATGCCTGAAGGACGACCTGAAGATGTTCGAAGCCAGACACGGCTCCACGCCCGACAAGCGGAGCTTCTTCGGAATCCCGAAGCCAGACTGGGACGAGGCGGCGAAGGTGGAGGGGGGGGTACCGTGGCACGCGGGGGTGCTACAAGGAGCTGAGAGGTTTATGGCCTCTTGGCACAAGGGCGAGGAGAAGGCCAGCCGACAACGAGCCATCAAACGAGGAGACAGCGGGCCCAAACATAGTCTAGATACGGCACCAATCAACGGGGCGGGAGGGGGGCGGGAGGAAACGGCGCGGGAAGAAAGCAAGCGAGAAGAGACCGACCGCGTGACGTGACATGTTGCGGTTGAATTTCAGCGACTAGTTTTTCTGTTGCCCTCTCCCCCGTTTGCTGTCGCGTTCAGACTGTCTCTACGGATATTATGCCTGTCTCTGTGCGAGTTTGTTTATGTCCTCGTCTGTCTTTGGTTAATTTCGTTTTATTTTGTTTTGTTTTTTTACTGGCACGCACTGCTGACCCTTGAGATCCTCCCGGAAGGCTACCCCCCAGGCTGGTGGTGCGCACGTTCCACTATTCATTGATTTATTTGTTTCTGATTCTTTTGTTTTCTTGTATTTTATCGCTTTGCTNGCACTGCTGACCCTTGAGATCCTCCCGGAAGGCTACCCCCCAGGCTGGTGGTGCGCACGTTCCACTATTTATTTAGTTATTTGTTTCTGATNCAGAAGGAGGTACTGGATAGAGAGACCGGGATGGTTTTTAATGTGAAGACAACAACAACAACAACAACCGTTAGCCCTCAAACGTCAAAGTTCCACGTCAAAACAATGTGTAAACCCTCTAATGTCAAAATTATAACCGATGGTGTAAACCCTAAATTAGCCCGCTTATTTCAGCAACTCATAACATTCAGATTCTGTTCGCGCTATAATAACTAGATGATGAGGACCGGGAGGGGGGAGCAGCACAAAGAGTAAACCGCATCCGGGAGGGGCGACAACAACAACAGCAGGGATGGGGCGTTGAAGAAGGCGCAAGCAGAAGAAGAAGAAGAAGAAGAAGAAGAAGAAGAAGAAGAAGATGAAGAAGAATCATTTCACCAACAACAGCAGGCAGTTCATGGGCGAGCTGGAGACAAGTAGGGCTTGTGTTCAAATATAGAGAGTTCTCCCGTAGAGCGCGAGTCCAATTAGACGACAACAACAATGGTGGTGTCGGAGTACGCCGGACGGTCTCGCTCAAGAAGAGCTGCGACCGCTGCGTTAGGCGTCGGAGGAGTTGTGACGGGCGTGGCCTGAGGCGATGCAGGTAAGAGTCAGATCGTACAGCAACAACAGCAAGCAGCAGTAAATCGTATATCATCGCTTTCCCGCTGCCGTGAATAGGTCCGCTCTTCTCTCCTGCCAAAATCATTAGTCTATGAAACATCCAGAAATAGAACGTACAATTCATTTTGAATGCGCAGCAATATTTTTTGTTGGCGCGATGTGCGCATCATCAGCTGATTCATACGTGGATTGATCGTACCAAGGAGGTTGGTTGTTGGTTGTCACTTGCTGCTGCTCTCTCAATGATGATGTGGTGTGCATATCTATCTGCGATTAAGAGTTACACCGCAAAGCGGCGCAGCTGTGTTTCCGTGCTTGCTTCACCCTGGCTGCCTTGCAAAGCAATCAATCCTCTCGCTCACCTGAAGATAGACAGGCAGAGCGGCACACTTCAAATACATGCAGAGCACACAAATACAGCAGCAGTCGTGGGATGCTGTTTGTTGTCGAAGTCTACATAACCTCCATTTTACATAGTACTACCAAAGGCACCGCACGCAGCGCTCAGTCAGGCGCAATGCGCATGACGCCGCGGCACACCCGTGCCTGTGCGGAACTCGTCGTTGACGAATTTCGACAATACATGTACCCGGTCTCAGATGCGAGATGCATTTACTTGACGTTACCGGCAAAACGCCCACATCCGCCTTGTCGACGTTCGATTTCAATAATAGATACATGTTCTGGGCGAAAACTGGATGCAAACATGCAAACTGAGCGATATTTGGCTGGTTGCTGATGATGGTGTTTTCGTGTTTTCTCATGCCAAGAAGAATGAATTGCTTCGGAGTAGGAGAACCTTTTGGTTGTTATCATGGGCTACCGTGGCACGCGGGGGTGCTACAGGGAGCTGAGAGGTTTATGGCCGCTTGGCACAAGGGCGAGGAGAAGGCCAGCCGACAACGAGCCATCAAACGAGGAGACAGCGGGCCCAAAAATAGTCTAGATACGGCACCACCAATCAACGGGGCGGGATGGGGGCGGGAGGAAACGGAGCGGGAAGAAAGCAAGCGAAAAGAGACCGACCGCGTGACGTGACATGGTGTGGTTGAATTTCAGCGACTAGTTTTTCTGTTGCCCTCTCCCCCGTTTGCTGTCGCGTTCAGACTGTCTCTACGGATATCCCTGTCTCTGTGCGAGTTTGTTTATGTCCTCGTCTGTCTTTGGTTAATTTCGTTTTACATATTTTATAATTATTATTTTTCTTAATATGACACAACGAGTCCATCTCTATCGCAGAAAAGAGTCAATGACAGATTAACAATGGAATAATAGCGTCAGAGAAAACTACCTGTATGTCTACGATTTCCCAGACAGCATTAGGGACATCTCCCCTGCGGGTAACAGGCTCAACAAATCAGTTTGGTAGCTGTCTTGTGTGTCTCATATATGTTATGTTGGGAAGGTGCAGACGAGAGGTGTTGGGTACTGTTGGTTAGTCGGGCGTTTTGTGTGTGGCACCCTGTTAGTTGTAGGACATACAGTCTCCATCAGTTTAGACTACATAGGTATTTTCAGTTTGGTATGCATATGTGCGGAGTATGTGCGGCTGATGTGCGGGCACACGGGAGTGGTGTCACCGTTTATATACAAAAACAAAAATGCGACACAATATGACACAACGAGTCCATCTCTATCATAGAAAAGAGTCAAAGACAGATTAACAATGGAATTATAGCGTCAGAGAAAACTACCTCAATGTCTACGATTTCCTAGACAGCCTATAGGGACAGCTCCCCTGCGGGTGACAGGCTCAGAAAATCAGTTTGTTTTTTGTTTTTTTACTGGCACGTACTGCTGACCCTTGGGGTCCTTGGGGTCCTTCCGGAAGGCTACCCCCCAGCCTGGTGGTGCGCACCTTCCACTATTTATTGATTTATTTGTTTCTGATTCTTTTGTTTTCTTGTATTTTATCGCTCTGCTAAGGACCGTTTTAAACGGACCGACTTTTTTGTCAAAATTTTCGACAGTTGTCTTTCAAAAACTTGGAACCTGTGNGGTATACCTTTTCTAGGTACGTCAGCCTGTGACCACGGAAATTGACCGAGTCAAGTGCTGGATTAGTACGGAGAGATTGAGACAGAAGGAGGTACTGGATAGAGAGACCGGGATGGTTTTTAATGTGAAGACAACAACAACAACAACTGATCGACCAACTTCCACCAGGGCCAATCGGTTGGGATCTCTGCGACAACGATAGTAATGAGGGTAATTCTTTTGGGAGTGACGGAGACGAAGGAAAGAGAAAGGGAAGAAAGGAGGACGAAGACGACGATGGAGGAGGACAACATGGAGGGGTGGAAGAGAGCAAAGGGTTTGAGCCAGATGACCTCCTCCAAAACAAAAAACATAGGACTATGTTTGGGGTGCTCGGCAGAGTATACTGTCTACGGGGCCTCCGGGGGGTACGCGGATGGAATGTATTGACGGACATGCTACATGGCGATGGTGTGGCCTACCGCATGTCTCTTACTCTCTAAGCAACAAGGTCTTGAGTCAACCTTCTTTCTCTTTCGGCCTCTGACGAGCTACGGCACCCAAACACAATATATTGTAAGGCCTGGTGTTGGTAGTGGGTATTGGCGTCTGAGCGGTGGGAGCTGGGCCATCGGGGCAGCGGACACCATTTTCATAGCTGGGATCGCGGCCAAAGGGGGCGAGGACAGCAGTGCATAGCCGGTGCGGTGGCCATTGCGGGGACCGGGACAGCAGGGTTATAGCTGGGACAGCACTTCGAGGCTGGGACAGCAGTGAGGGTTTAGAGTTTTAGTTTGATATGTCTGGAACGGAGGAGGACGCAACTCTGAGCGCGAGGTTGGATGAGGCGCTACGAGCTATAGAGGAGGCCAANGGGCGAGGACAGCAGTGCATAGCCGGTGCGGTGGCCATTGCGGGGACCGGGACAGCAGGGTTATAGCTGGGACAGCACTTCGAGGCTGGGACAGCAGTGAGGGTTTAGAGTTTTAGTTTGATATGTCTGGAACGGAGGAGGACGCAACTCTGAGCGCGAGGTTGGATGAGGCGCTACGAGCTATAGATGTTGCCAAGGCTGAGACGAAGGAGGCCAAGGCTAAGACGAAGGAGGCCAAAGCTGTGACGGAGGAGCTTAGGGCAGCACGGCGGCGGTCTGCGGGTGCACCTGCCGGCAGCAGCTCAGGAGGCGACGGTCTAGTTGCTCCTGGAGGGGCTTCATCTGCACCGGTGAGGCCAATGTGGCCAGGCGGGGACGTCGTGCGTGGTCGATATGCCACGCTCAAGGCCAGCGAGATGAGAGAGCGAGTGTCGGCAGCTTCGACGCCGGTGGTTTCTGTCAACCCCCATGCTCATGTTGTGGGCCATGGTTTTGGACACGGCGGCAACGGAGGGAGCGGGGGGGGCGGAGGCCAACGGCGGAATGGCAACAACGGCAACGGCAGCGGGCAACACTGGTCCTCTGGGGGCGGTGTTGTCCAACAGCAACAGCCGCAGTTGCAGGTGCAGCAGTACCGGCAGCCGCAACAGCCGCAGCGGCAGATGC